CACGTGCTGGCATCTGGAAGAGTCTGGCTGCCTCTCCCAAGCTCCTTCTCGGAGTTCTAGGAGCCCTGTCTGGGTTCAGCTCTCTGCAGCTCCATGAAGATAGGACATGCCACGGCCCCAGGTGCAGGGACTTGGGGGGCATGGAATATACCTTTGCTCAAACCAGGAGGGATTGTCTTCACAGGCTGTCACTCAGGCCCCACACTCATTTACCACTCTGATGTCACCACCCTGAAATTTTTAATGTTTTTCTTTTTTAAACAAGGGCCTCTTTTCATCTTGCACCAGGATTCACAACTTAGATGGCAGCTCTGCTGACTTGGGGATGCTGCCCCGGGCCTCATCCTTTAGCTCACAGCTTTGACACTTTACACAAAGGTGCTTTGTTTTAAAAACTCCCCGGGCCAGCCGTGATTCCCTGGCTTCCTCGTTCTGATGGCACAGACCAGGAACAGATTCAGAAGTCCTTCTGGCAGCTCAGCAGGGAGCGGGGATTTGGCTCCAGGAGTTATTCATTATTTATTGAACCTCCAAATCCCAAATCTGTTGTGGCCACAGACGGCAGGCTGGCCAGCAGCCCAGACACTCCCTGGACAGGCTCAGCGCTGCCCTCTCCTGGCGGAGGCTGAGGCAGCGCGGTGGTCCCCGCACTGTCCCCAGAGCCCCTTCCTCCAGGTTGCTTAGATTAGAGACTTTGTCTCGTGAAGTATTTGCCAAATGCTGCCAGGTCCCTCAGGAGTGTCCTCCAGCTGGGCTCAGCTGCTCCACCTGCATCATTAACCTCCACGAATGTGCCCCTAGCCGTGCCCTGCTTATTCAGCTGAGACGCAGATGTGCCCTTCACTTGAATCCAGAAGGTTCTAACACTGCAGTCCATGTGTGCAAAAATGAGCTGCCCCGGGGCTTTCCTGTCAAGATCTGCTCTTCCCGGGGCTGGGCCTCCCCCATCGGGTGCCCAGGGAACGAGCCGCGCTCGCCTCTCTTTTGCGCCGGCCACTCTGGCATGTGGCTGCAGAGCGCCACCAGCTGTCCGTATCTCTGCAGGAATCCTCTCTGCAGTGCTGGCAGTGTCCCTGCCTCCTGTAAGGAGCTGCCTGTGTGTAGAGGTGCAGGCCTTTTGTAGAAACTCCCCCCACACACACAACACACACACTCCCAGGGTCCCCGTAGATTATGCAGAGAGCAAAGAGCAAGCCTGTTCACCCTCGGAGTGCTGTGCTGGAGGAGTGAACAAGCTCGGAGTAGGAAGGACTCTCGGCCTGCCTTTTCCTAAGGGGAGGAAAGGCCCCCATTCCCGGTGATTCTAAGACAACTGGAACGGGTGTCACTGTCATCATCCCAGCAGCACTTTTCATTTGCAGATGGTTACAGCTTTTCAAAGAGCTGAATCGTTTTCCCAGCATCTGTCTTCCACGGGATACGTAAGGCCAGCCTTGCATCCTAATGCCCATTTCACAGATAAGGCGCTGGAGGTTTGGTAAATTTCCGGCTGTCGCTCTGCAACCCAGGCCTGTTGGCCTTCTCAGGCACGGTGACTTCCGTCCAGGTGGGTCTTTTAGGGCCCGCTGGGGGCCTCAGTGATAATATAGCAGATAGCTGACCTCTGCAGTGCCTGACTATTTCTTTGCTGGGCTCAGAACGTTCCCACCTGAGCGGACAAGCAGATGCCGAGGACCGTGGGCTGTGTGCTGCCCCAGCACCCTTGACAGCCTCCCCAAGCCTGCGGCGTGCATTCTTAGATCCTGTTGTCGGAGACAGGGCAGGGCTAGTGGCTCCATGTCCTGGGAGGACACCCGAGGCAAAGAAAGGGAGAGAAGGGGCCGGCCCGGTGGCGCACTGCTACAGTGTGCCGCTTGGGAAGCGC